AAGGGGAAGTAATTTTACCAAGGAGCAGGTCGTATTTTTCAGACAGGAAGAAGTAGCGTTTGCAAATAATTTACCTATGAAACACATGGTGCACTTGAGAACCAAACCTTAGGTATAGTTGCGGCACGACTTGCATACCGGGAGAGTGGCTGGAGGGCAGCCATGAAAAGCCAGCTCCCACAGGACACTGCAGCTTCTCCGGGCACCTGTATGCCTGGGCTGGGTGGACCACAGCCCTCCAACTCCTGTGACACTGCCTCATCTTTCTCCATGCTCATCCTCTGCTTCCCTCTTTCCCTAGGAAGGATGCTTCTGGTTGGATTGGGTCCCTCTAGGAAAACTGGGACAAACTCCTGGGTAAACATCCTTGATTTAATCATAAGCACAGATTTCTTTCTGCTACATAAGGTATCATGGACACAACTTCTGGGGATTGATGTGGACATTTCTTTGGTGGGGGAGGACGGGGTTGGTGGTATTTTTATCATATCAACCCTGAAATATAGATAGCAAGAAGCCTTGTTAATGCAAAATCAATGCAAACACAATTCTAACTTTTCCCCCCCTTTCTTCTTTGTCTTTCAAAACAACCATTGAATTTGTGCTCAGAGGAAAGAGTCCGGACAGTTGCACATCAATAAGCAAGAATTTTGTACGTTTTTTCTCCCCACAACTGAGAAGTAAGAACCTTCATGTGAATGCATTGTTGCTGGCTATTTGAACCTTTTTTCAATGGGCTTTGTGTGGTGAACTGAGTTATCCCTTGAACACCATTGGTAACCACAAAGTCAGTGGTTCAAACCCACCAGTCACTCTGAAGGAGGAAAATGAGGCTGTCTGCTCCTTTAAAGATTTAAAAGTTCCTGAAAACCAGTGGGAAGCCCTACTCACTTTTTGAGGGATGCTGTGTGTTAGAAGCAACTCAGAGCATGGTTGATTTGTTCTTTTGTGTGTGTATTCTCCTTCACTGCACACAATAGCGATGTGGGGGCTTCGAGGGTATCTCCTCCAGCTAGGGACATGGAGGGACCTTCTGTGTGCTCCGGGAGTCATCACACAGTCCAATAGGAGGCCAGAATGGAGGCTTCCCAGCAATCCACAAAAGTGGTGGGCACTAAAATCAAACACAATTTTCTCTCAGCATTTGCATATTTCCCTTTACCCATATGACATGTACTGATGGGAAGATATGGGCTCCATACCAGGTATTCAGTTCTCCCATGTGCAATGAGTAAATGCCCCTCACTTGGCTAAACATAGAGGATTAAAGACAATAATGCATGGGAAGCACCAGCCGCAGTGCCTGCAACAGAGAGACATAGGTATAAAGGAATGCCAATTTCTCTGCCCTTTCCCAGCAGGCATACAATATTCTGAGCTTGCCTTGAAGCCCATTTCAATATGAGGCTGCCACTGGTGAGAAATAGTTTTTCCTCCCTGGCATTTCATCTTCACCAGCAGATTTCTGTTTCACCCAGCCTAGAATAGCTCAAGTAGGCTGTGACCTCGGCAAGCACCCTTGAGAGGCTCTTGAGGCGCCTTGAGAAATTGCATATGAGGCGCTGTGCATCTGGGCTGGATCTATTATTCATGCATGCATGTTTCAGAGAGCACAGTAATTTAGAGTCTCTCAGAGAGCACTCTCTGCAGCAACCATAAACCACGTTCTATGTGCTCCAGGGAAAAATTATCTTTCCCTTGCTTAAGCTAGGGGTCATGTAAGAGAATGCTCACAGATGAAACAGGGGGAAAGAGGTGGGAAGGGGACAGTCCAGGACATTCTGTGAAGAACTTCCGGGATCATATGCTGGGCGAAGCTCCACTGGTGCGTGACCTTGCAGAGTTTCAATTCTCTCCTTGGTGAAAAGAGACACTGGGACTGCATGCACCTCCTCAAGACTCTGACAGTCAGAATCCCCTGAGGTGGAGACCCTTGTTCCTGTGTGACCGACAGCTACTTATGTAATCTTTACTGAAAATGATCTCAGTGATAATATTTATGCCTTTTTTCAGTGCCTCAAGAATTAGAAGCAATATCTGCACAGTCCACACACACACAGGTGTTTGAAAACTTCATGGAAAATGTCCATTATCTTTTCATTCCATTTTTCTCAGATATTTGGAGTCTTTTGTATTGCATTTTGTCATAGTGTGTGAAAATATTATGGGTACACATACACAAGGGGGGTTCAAAGGTTTGTGAATAAATGAAATTGAAAGATAATGGGATCTTTCCACAAACTTTTTGACACCCACCTCTACCCGACTTGTAATTATACACACATACCTTTAGAGGTGCATGGTTAAGTGATTGGTTGATAATAGGTCAAATTCATCTTGACAACAGCATGCACATATGCATATATATGTATATATGTGTGTGCATGTATATATGTATATGTACATAACTCTATTTTGGTTTTTAAAAACAGTATAGCTTTTGTGTCACAGAGCATATAACAAATACAGAACACAGATTTTCCCTGAAAATGGAAAATTAGCAGATACATATAGAACTGACAGGAATGGGATAGAAATGAAATAAAGAAAGATAAAGAAAGGAGTTAACATCCATTTTGAGATACTAGATGAGATAAAGGGAAAAGCACTAGCAGGAATTTTGGAGGTCAGGTCAGTGCTGGTTTCTGGTTTTATTTTATTTTTTATTGTTATCATGTGAGAAGTCATTTCCTCCCACTACAGTGCCAGTCTCTCATTTCTATTTCCCCCAGTGCTCAGCTACTCTCCAGAAAATGAATAGCACCATTCCATACTGAGCAGGGCAATGCCATGCATTAACTGGAATCATAGCTTCCATAGCCCGGGGAAAACCATGTACCATGTGCCCAGGCATTCAGGCAGCTTCAGGGAATGCTCACCAGCTTCCTGCCTTCTGCTGAGAGCTGACATACCATGAGCCATCCTAGGGTTCTCTGGGGGATTTCCTCTTCTGGCAGGCCCTGTCCTACCACAATTTCTTCTCTGTCCCACTGAACCTAGACTTGGCTTTTTTGCAAGCATTTTATTATGCTTACAGGTATTTAGACTAATAGCAAGTACTTCGATCTTAAATGCACACCCTGAGGTAAGAAAAAAGCATTGACCAGAGCCTGAAAATCTTGGCCTCCCAATGAGGTTTGCTGCTGTTCTTCAGCAGAGGTGGATTCATTGATACCTCACAGCAAGGCTGTATTCAATTTTGCTTCCTGTTAGGAGTGAGAATCCTACTGCATTTGCAAGCTGTTCTGAAGGAAAGACCCAACTTCAGGGAGACTTCTTTCATACCCTGTACGGAGAGTGATGTTACACTGGGTGGAAGGATAAGAATTAGGGCATTCTTCTTTATTTTGTTTTGTCTCTGTCCTCCCTACATGGAAGACTCATCTGGCTGCAAAACATTGTGAATTAGCTAAATGTCACTGAATAGTTCATTTTAATATGATTAACTTTATATTATGTGAATTTCATCTCAATTTTAAAAAATCATATAAAGAAGCATTATAAAGTTATTAGATCTTTAAGGCTGTATACGACCTTGAGGTAGTTTATTGTGCCAACCTGGCCAATGAACACATATGAGGTTAATTGAAGGGCGGAGGGATAACTGGCTCAGTGAGCCTCGCCTTTCTAGTTTTCCGGTTTCTTGCTTTGTGATGGTTGGACCAGGGTGTAGTTGCCTTAGCCAGTTCCCTGCTTCAGCTAGCAAGGCTCACTTCCTGCAAGACATCCCCAAGGAGAAGCCACAAGGACCTACCCTGATGCAGCCCTGGGTGCTGAAGCAGCCGTGTGGAGACCCCTGCCGATGCTGAGATGCTTACATGTTCTCTGATTTTGACTTTCCTCCTGCAGTCGTCATCATTGAGTGTGTTTAGTGAGATGGAGGAGGACTTTGTGAATTCGTGTTGGACATATGGGTTAATGTTGGACTTGTGGGCTTGGGCAGCACTGGGTTGGGATGTTTTCTTGATGTGCAATTAAACTTTATATGAAACTCTCTCTTATACATGAATTTCTGTGGATTGTTTCTCTAAAGTAACCAGACTAATACAGACCTCAAATGCCATCTTCTTTATTTCTCGAGCTTCCCTAATCCATTGACTCCACAAGAAATGGAGCCCATTCCCTAGGTCACATCAGGAAGCCTGAATGAAAACAAATTTGTATGACCAAAATTCAATGCCTTTTTCCTGGCTCTAAACTTCGAGTCATACGGTACCTGCTCAGCCTTGCTCTTCATCTTTCTACTCCGTGGGCAGAGGCTAGAATTTAGGAGAGGCTAGAATCTCCAAGCTTGAGAGGATGGGAGCCTTTATTGCCCTTTTTTTTTGGAGGGGGGGGTGTACCTTCACAGCTGCAGTTTGAGGTAACAAGGTAGTAAAATGCACTGCTCTTTGAGGTCCCGGCAACAATGTATGCTCTATGATTAATGGGCTCAGTCACACAGAGGATCTCTGAGGGGCCTCCAGACACTTTAGAGCTGCCCCTGGTGCCGCTGTAAGGTCAATAGCTCTACATTTTCAGGTTATGGGTCTTCACAGGGGCTCAGATAAACATTACCCAGTATTCTCTCTTCAAAGGTGAGAGTCGTCTGAACTTCTCAGGTTCTTCTCTTTTATATGTGATGAGAAAAAGCGCCCACCCTAACTCCTTCAGAGTCTTGGGTCTAGGGCAACCCTCCAAGAAGTCCCATGGAGCAGCACTACGATGACACAGAGAACACATTGAATTCCATCTCACATGCTTCCAGGGGAAGGTCAGTGAGATCTGCTTAACCACCTCCAAAATCATTTTCAACGTGAAATTCATAAAAGTAGAAAATGATTAATTACAAAGAAACAGGGTTTTCCCAATATATTTATATAGAGCAATTATAAGTGAAATATTAGAATTATTGTATGTCGACTATAACTATAGTAATCATTAGAACATTAAAAAATGAATCAGGAATCATGAGGTATTTTATGTGTTCATTTGTGGAGGTTTTTTTTGTTTGTTCTTTTAAAAATATGGAATGCTTCATGAATTTGCATGTGAGCCTTATGCAGGCACCCTGCTAATCTCCTATGTATCATTCCAATCTTAGTATGTGTGCTGCCAAAGGGAGCGATATATGTGTTCATTTGGAATTCAAGCCTTATCTTTTCTGGGTCACCACTCATTGGGGAAATGCATATATATTAAAAAGAAGCCATATGCCAGAATCCAATGTTATGGGAAAAGGATTAAAATTATAAAAGACTTTGCTTTGCTTGGAATCACAATGGCTATGAAAGCAACAATAAGTAATTGTGTAAAATGGGATTACTGATAATTATGTTTTGAGTCAATTCAACTGAGTCAATTCAGTCTGTAGGTCTTAGAACAGACTGAGAATAAGAAAAGCAAATGGGAAGAACACACCCAGCATATAAACTTGAGAAGATGGGAGCCTTTATTGTCCACTTAAAGAACTAAAGACAAATTCCAGTCTTAGAGTTACAATAATGAAAAATTATTGGGCCAAAATATTAAATGGTGCAGGAAGCAACAAAAAAAAGTGGAAAGAATACACAGTCACAGTACCAAAAAGGACTAGTCGATATTCAACTATTTCAAGAGGTAGAATCAATGGGACTGAAGGAAGAAGTCCAAGCTGCACTGACAGCAGTAGCCAAAACAAGGCTCTAGGAATTGATGAAATACAACTGAATTGTTTCAACAAGTTAATGAAGCACTGGAAACACTCATTTGTGCCAGGGAATTTGATAGATAGTTCTTTGGCTAACTGACTAGAAGGATTAATATTTGTAGCAATTCCAAAGAAAGGAGATCCAACAGAATGTTCAAATTATAGATTATATCATTGATATTACATGCAAGTAAAATTTTGTTGAAGATCATCCAACAATTACAGTAATACATTGACAGGGAGCTGCCAGAGTTTCAGGCTGGACCCAGAAATGGACATGATATCATTGCTGATATCAGATGGATCTTGCCTGAAAGCAAAGAATACAGAAAAATGTTTCTGTTTGTTTATTTTATGTAGGCATTCCACTGAGTGGATTATAAAAACAACCACAAAAACAAAAAACTATGGATAACCTTGAGCAAAATGGGAATTTCAGAATACATCATTGTGCTCATTTGGAACATGTGCATGAATCATAACAGAGAAGCTGAATTATATGGAAATGAGTGTGGTATCAGGATTGGAAGGAGACTGATTAACAAACTGGCACTGTACAGGAGACACAACCTTGCTTGCTGAAAGTGAAGAAAACTTGAAATATTTGCTGATGAAGATCAAGGATTGCAACCTTCAGTATGAATTTGCATTCATTGTAAAGACCAAAATCCTCACGACTGGACTAACACACAACATCATGATAAATGAAGAAAAGGTTGAAATTGTCAAAGAATTTATCGTGCTTGGATTCACAATCAATGCTCATGGAAGCAGCAGTCAAGAGATCAAATGGCACATTACATTAGGCGAAAGACCTCTTTAAAGTGTTGGAAAGCAAAGGTATTTCTTTGAGGACCGAGGTTTGCCTGACACAGCCATGTTATTTTCAATTGCCTCCTACACAAAGACCAAATGTTAATTGATGCATTTGAACTATGGTGCTGGAAAATAATATTCATGGCACTGTGGACTGCTAGGAGGGCAAACAAATCTGCTTTTTAAGACGTACTGATAGAATGCTTGCAAGTGGCAAGGATGGTATGGCTTTATGGCATATACTTTTGACATGTTTTCAGGTGAGAACCATCCCTGGAGCAGGGCGACATGCTTGGTAAAGTAGTATGGCAGCGGAAAAGGGAAGGCCCTCGCCAAGATGGATTGACACAGTGACTACAACAGTGGTGGAAACACAAAACAAGGGTGAGGATGGCATGGGACTGGATGGGTATTTTTTCTGTTGTATGTAGGTTTTCTATCAGTAGTACCATCTCGATGGTACAAAAGAAAATGGAAGAGTTCCCAAGAGTTTGGCAGCAATCTCCCATAATATGATATAACAAAACATAATCAACTCCATGGTGGGATCTAACACAAAGTCATCAACTCTCTGAGAAGGTGGCAGTTGGGGAGAAGTGGAACCCCTTGATTAGGTCACAGCCTGGGTATAATTATATGGAAGATTCCTCAAGGATATGCCCTATTCTTCTATAAGAAGACCCTGTGGGAAAACTTGTCACTTTGACTGGGTCTGGATCTTGCATCTGGTTCATCGATCCCTGATGTATTGACTGTCAACCCTAGGAATTATCAGCAGATTTCCAACCTTGGATTCATTTGACTTTGCACCCACTTGCCTATGGTTTTCCTGCATTGCCTTCCTGTTTCAGGTTCATCAGTTCTGCATCTACAGGAGTCCAGGAGAAGCCTCCAAATTAATATATAGCCCATGAACTTGAACTGGACTGGAGCTGTCTGCTTCAACAACTGTGTGAGATATTCCTGGATATAAAATTATTTCTATATACCTATACATGTAAGCATCACTGATTTTGCTTCTCTAGAAATTCCATCCTGAAACACTTTTCAATTGGTAAATCTGCTGACAATATCTCTTTAAAGCATTAAAGGGTAAATGTGTCACTCTGAGCACTAGAATATGCCTGACCCAAGCCAGACATATCAAACACCTCATATGCATGCAAAAGTTGGACAATAAATAAGGAAGACTGAAGGACTGATACCTTTAAATTATGGTGTTCATAGGAATTTTGAATTACCAGGGCCTATTAGTCGAACAAATAAATCTGTCTTGCAAGAAGTATAGCAAGAATTTTTCTTAGGAAAGAGGATTACTGTGTTAGTCTGGGTAGATGAGAGAAACAAATTCATAGACACATGTGTATAACAAAGATATTTATATACAAGAGCAATTGAATATTGAGAAAACATCCCAAGTCATTCCAGATCAAGTCCATAAATCTAATATTAGCCCATATGTCTGATACCAATCTATAAAGTCCTCTTCAGACTCACAAAACACATTCAATGATGCCAAATGCAGGAAGATCACAGGTCAGTGGGTGCACATTCTTGTGGATCCAGTGGCAGTAGAAGCATCTCAGTGCTGGCAAGGGTCTCCATGTGCTCCTCCAATTCCCAGGGCCTGGGGTCTATCCACATAGTGCCATGTGTCTGTCAGTAGAGTGTCTCTCAGGGAGTGAGTCTGGTCAATAGAGAGTCTCCAATGGAGTGAGCAGCGAGAGAGAGAGTCTGTCTCCCGCCTCCAAGGAGGAAATCCAGGAATTCCCAGAATTCTCAGGAGAAAGCCATGCCCACAGAGAGGCCTCATTGATTATATCTTGATTGACAAGCCAGATTCCACCCCTTCATTTGTAATCCTCTCAAATTTACAACAGATTATGTAACTACCACAGACCACCCCTTGTCAATTTGACACTTTTGCATAACTCTTTAGCCATATGTAATTGTGAAATAAACAATAATAAAATCATATCTGTACCTAACAGGATAAAATTAAAATGCATATAATTCAATATGTGCCATCCTCATTTAAACATAACATCTATAAGTGAACAAAACAAAAAATATCCTATGCCTAACAATTGAAGTTAAGTAACACCTACACCTTAATCCTACAACCCTCTGAATATATTCCCCCACTATGAAAGTTTGTAAACCAACCACTTCATGCCTTTATCTGCCCCATTTGGGGTATCCAATTTCTATACTGTCCATTTACGTCAACCCAGTGCTCTAAGGAGACAATCATATTCTTTGATGTGAAGAATCCTCATTCCAGTTGGGACCTTTTGAAATCTGCCTCCATAAACAAAATCAAATCAGGACAGGGACATCCAGAAAGTCTCCAGCAATATGCACCAGTTCACAGGCTCTAATATCTTCTCTTCATCTGCTCGGGTTCTGGTCAACTCTGGGTTGCCTCACTTAGCCTCACCAGTGTGTCCATCGGTTGTCTTGCCTTCAACCTTCCTAATGCCACGATCCTTTAATACAGTTCATGTGGTGACCCCCAACCATAAAATTATTTTCACTGCTACCTCATAACTGTAATTTTGCTACTGTTATGAATTGGGCAACCCCTGTGAAAAGGTCATTCAAGCCCCAAAGGGGTCACAACCTAGAAGTTGAAAACCACTGCCTTAGACCATGGCCCCATCACAAATTCTCAACAACTCTAGTCCCCTTGTGCTAGTCATGAACTTCAGACCAGTCAATATGCTCTCCTCTTCTCCTGTTTCTCTAATCTACCCAGACTAACACATTATGGTACCAGGAGTGGGGTACTAGAGATATAAATCATAAAGATGGAGAGTAGATGTTTATTTGACTTCTGCCTTATGGTAGTATTTCTTCTTGGGCTAGCCAGAGGTCAGATATGTCCATGCAGCTTGTGTTGTTTTCTGGAAAGAACATGTGAAGTTAAGGTTTTGATTATATTGTTTGGTTTTTGTCTTTGGATGTTCCTCTTTGAAATGGCAAAAATGAATGTTTTTAATAAATATTTTGAACTCAGGGATAGAATTCACCCCTTGAATTTCTCAGAGATCATGCTACTTAGGGAAAATGGCTGACAGAAGGTCAAAATGGGTGACAGAAATCCTGGCTTGGGTTTGATGCTCTCAGGAGGCCTAATCCCATACTTTGCATCAATTAAATAGTTTAGATAAGGATTAAGGTAAACCAAATAAAGATTGAACTTTACTGTTTTAAGAATTGAGTTTAGGATCTGAATCTCTGTTTATGTGGATTTTCTCTATTTATTATCATTGATACGATGATTGATAGAAATGTTTATTGGGAAGTATGAAAATAGAGAGTTTGTAAACCTACTTATCTTCAGCCATTGAAATTGGATCTTTAGATGGGTTTGGAACATGCCTGCAAAGAAGGCTCTCAAGAGATTAGCCCCACACAGTGTTCTGGAGTACTCGGGATGTTTGCATTCCAAGAGAATTTTGCCTACGGGGCTGCTGACAGACAGATTGAAGAAAAAGGAACTCTATGGAATTTGAAGTTTGAACTAGTGGTTTTAGTCAGAAGCTTGAAACAATCTGGAACCATGAAGAAAACTCTTCTCTAGGACTGAATGTCAAAGGGAGACTGTGGTAGCCTGAA